ACAAGCTGAACATCACCCAGGGCTAACCAGGAAGCCCCAGATGAGGCGGAGACTCCTTTTTCCCCAGACCCTTTGGGATTTCCCTGCCAGAGGGAGGCTGAGCAGACAAGCTCCTGAAGAGCTGCCCCGCAGCACAACCTGCTGGCATCTCTCAGCCAAGGCAGGACTGCTCTAAATAAATTATCCAGCCTAGCAGCAGCACAGAAAGACAAGGTCCAAGGACATGAAACTACAAGGAAGTCGACCCAAAATGCCATAGAGCAAAGACCAGCTTTGCCCACAATAACTAGCTATCCAGCAAGAACAAAAAGTCAAAGCAGAGTCCTAACCCTGAACTACCTTAGGCCTTCTAGCAGATAGGAATCATTGCAGCTCTAGGCTTTGCTGTTGTTTAGCCTGGTTTCTTCTAGGAAAGCACAAACTTGCAAGCCCATACTTTGTGCAAGATGAAAGCATTTGCTCTTGAACCCACAGGCTAACCTCAGCCAAGTGCAACAAAGGTAATTAAGTTTCCTAAGACTTAGAGGCCATGGAAAGGAGACAACTAGAGTTGCGCTGGTCAGGGGAGATGCTGCAATGTGAACTTGCCTTTACTGCATACCAGAGAACCCACAGTTGAAAATGCCCTTAGAAATGCTTCAGTAGGGCAGGGCTCAGGTTTCCTTTTTTGATGCCAGAAATGAGCAGCCACTAGACAAATCCAGAGAAACCAGCTCCACAATATACCTCTGTTTCCAGAGCTCCCTGGGTGTTTTCTGACTATATGCATTAGCTGTTTTAAAGGTCACGCTTTAGAGTTCTGCACATGCTCCCCAATTCTCTAGACACCACATGGCATATTGCAAACTCACATTTGCAGTCGAAAAGTTCTTCATTCCTATTATTCCTTTAAATGTTTTAATATTCCATTATTTCCTTTCTTCTCTGCTGCCTAGAACAACATACTTGAATACAGGCAATTAAATAAGAGGGAGGTGGCATTTAGAATTAATCTAATCTAAATTTAATTCCAGGATGTTCTTGTGTTTTATTGAGAAAGAGGCTGTGCAACCCAATGAAACCCAATGTGCGCCAGACATGCTATGCTTCACAGCAGCAGAATGTTGGTTTTGGCAGTCTATTGGCAGATGTCTTCTAGATAACTTGGTAGAACCTCATCTATTGTTATATCGTGAATTCTGCAAGCAAACTTTCAAAGGTGTTGCATTTCCTCGTCTAATATACTCACTATTAACTACTGCAACACTACACCATGAAATGAATAGATTTGCCATCATTTGCAGTCTCAAAAGCAAAACAAGTGAAGCTATTCTAGGAGGCTGGCTTTGGCCCAAACAGAAACAATACGTTGAAGGTAGAAACAACCAAGTGAATGTTTGCTGCTGGTGACCTCCAACACAAAAAGAACCAGAAGGGAAGAAATCCTAATTGCTTCGGACTTGCACATCAAGCCACCACTCCAGAAGAGCCCTTTAGAGGACTGAATATGCAATCTACCTTCCACAGTCCCACTGCTCTCCTTCTTCAAGTCTCACAAGTAGCTAGATGCAAAACAGAACCACCAAAGCTGCCAAATCTTTACAACTGGGTTTCAATGTACCAGCCAGAAAACACACCTTGACTTTCAGTGGCCAGGCTACAGCCCAATATTTTTATTTTTTAATGCCTAAACTGAGCTAGTATAAGACAAAACCATTGGGGTGCAAAGAAAAACCTACTTGACATTTCTCTAGCTGGCACTGCACTTTGAGCACCATTGCAATAGGACAAGGGGTAATGGTTTTAAACTGAAAGAAGGTAGATTCAGACTAGATGAAGAAACTTTTTACGATGAGGGTGATGAAACACTGGAAGATGTTGCCCAGAGAGGTGGTAGATGCCCCATCCCTGGAAACAGTCAAGGTCTGGTTGGATGGGGATCTGAGCAACATGGTCTAGTGGAAGGTGTCCCTGGTCATTGCAGGGGGGTTGCACTAGATGAACTTTAAGGGTCCCTTCCAACCCAAACCATTCTATGATTCTATGGTAAGCATGAAGATCTCTACTTTGTGTGCAGAAATGCACTGAGGCAAGACTTGCTCTGGTGCTCAGCCTTACACTAAAAAGCTCAGTTTCTGCTGAGAAAGTATTTTACAGCTGGAAGTGCAGTAACTCAAATAAGAACAAAAAAGACAGGCTGTGCCAGTATCTGAAGAGGAGACCTGGACGTAAACATACCAGGACTGTGGGAACCGCAACAAACTTCTGATGAGTACTCACCTTCCTGTAAGAACCTGTTAAGAAGCCACAAAGATTTTTATGGTGGTGGTTTCTCTTAGCCATGATGTAGTTGTAATATTCTCACTGTGTCCATAAGAAACTCCCTAAGACTCTTGTAAATAGAATTGTAACCCAATTCCAACTCTTGTAATTATATCAAACCCACTTAAATTATGCCCGAAGGGTTTTATTTGTTTTTAATAAACCAATCTTAGAAAGTATCTGGTTTTAGAATAGAAAACTCTTTCAGAGTGTTGTTTAAGTAACGCCCCTTTCCTCTCCCTTCCCTTCCTACTCCCTCCAAGAAATCAGCACAGGAGCCTAATATCTCTTCAAAGAAAATAAAACTCGGTGCAACTTCACAAGCTTCCACTCCACAGAATCTGGTGTCCAACCTTGGGTCTATGAAGTGATCCACAGAGACAGAAAGAAACAAGGCCACAGTTAGTGCAAAGTTTATCCAAAAATTTCCCCATTTCCAGGGTAAGCAATTACAAGGCTGATGATGGTAGTTTGCCTTTGTGTAAGTGGCTCAGGCAACTTAAAAAAATAATAAAATACTGCAGAGCACTAGCAGAACAGCTGCAACACTGAGCCTTTTTGCAGGAAGGCACTTCCTACAGACAGGAGTTCACTTACATAGGAAGGGATAAATTACAAGGAAAAGCACTATTGCCTGGATTCACCCTATCAAAATGCAAGAATTTATCTGAGTTGCCTAAATAAGGAGAAAAAGAAGTGAGCTGAACCTGAGGTAGCACCCATCTCCTTACTTGGGAGTGAAGGAGACAGTTCTTACCTCAGTATCTAGAGCAGAGCTCAAAGACCACATGCTTAGGTCTATGGTTAGTGACTCACCTGCAGTTAAGGTGAAACCCGAGATCCCTAAGTAAAGATAAGTCTCTGGACATTGTGGTTGTAGAGCAGCATCTGCCTGACATCTGCTAACAGCTCAGAACAGTTGTGCTGAGAGGCGAACAGTCCTAAGCATCTCAACAGGGTGCAAGTCCCCAGCCACGCTGGGGGATGTTCCCACCACCTTGTTGCACAGATACTGCACATGGGCAGCTCCTGGAAGATGGCAGAAATCAGGGTTTGGTTCCCTTCTGCTGAGGAGAAGCCAATTTAAAATAACCTTGAAATACAATAAAATTCAGTCCCTCAAGCTTTTTTTTCCCCTTCCAGGAAACATCATGTGAATTTTGTGGCTTATACTTCAAGCCTTCCAAGGAGGGAGGCTCCCAAAACCACACTATCCTTTTACCCTGACAGATGCTCTAGCCTACCAGCATGCAGGTGCAGTCCATGCGAAAGCACTGCAAAATGCAACCTGATGCTGACAACCAAGTCATCTCACTTCCAAAGCAATCTCTTTCCTTTCCTCAACATACTCGCTGAAATTTTGACCTCAAAATTTGTATTGGGTAAGATTCAGGAAACTACCTCCCGTCCATTTCTTTCAAACCCCTTGCCTTTGCTGCTACTTGTGCTGTTTGCAGCTGTTTTCATAGCGCTTTCAACTTGATGATGAACAAGAAGTCTACAAAGTAACCTCTTCCAGGGTAAAGACTCCCTCCAAATTCCAAACAGCCAAAGAATTTGGATAAATACCCAAACCAAAACCCAACAGCTCAAATTCTGAGGTTTGCCGGTTATCAGCCTCAAGTTTACATGCAAGCAGGATTAAAGAGCAGCCAACTAATTCAGAGTGAGACACAAGCTATCAATAATTCACAGTGAGACACAAGCTATCCAGCATTTTGCTATTGGTATGTACGTGTGTCATTCAAATAAGACGCATTCATCACTGAAGAATACTTGCCAAAAATCATGTGTTTTCTACTCACTCTCTCAGCTGCAGATCTTGGGAGGTAAGCTGCAACTGCACGTGCAATAAGGTTTCCAAATTACTAGCAACTCTGAGCTGGTCCTAAATGCAAAACAAAAACCAAAACACAGTCTGATGCTTTTTGCATGAAAGATAAAAAGCAGTGAATGGGTCTGTATACCTGGGAGACCAGTAGCTTACTGCTCTGAAAGCACAGCAGCAGTAGCCTGGAAGATGATCAGCATCTTCTGTGACATGTCCATACTTCCAGGGAGGTCTTCAAAGCCCCCGTACTTGGAATATTGAAGTAGAGCTAATTTGCTTAAGCCCCAAAAGCGCACTTGCCTGCTTCTGAACTGACAGGGAGAGGAATGAAAACAGAAATGCAACAAGATATGCCCTTCCAGGGCCCCCTTTATTAAGTGAATATAAAAATAAGATCATTTAAGTGCAGAGGCACAGTAATCCGCTCCACGGTGAAAAGGTATCTTGGGTTAGCAGTAAACAGAGTTTACAATGCTTTGTAAACAGACCTCTTTACAAGCAAGAAGCATACTGAAACATGACACACATTCGATTAAAAGTTCCCTGTTGCAGCAAAACTGCACACTTCTCATCTGGCAATTTCCAAGCACTTTGCAAAGGTGAGAGCATTATTTGCTCTGTTTTCAGAGCACACGTGAAACGAATATAACACAAGGAACCTGCAGTGTAAACACTTGAAAAAGTGCCACAGCATTTTCCAAGGATGATGGCTTACCCCTTGTTAGGCTTATTTTACAATGAAAAATAATGGCCAAAGCTATTGTGCATTATGAAAGTTTTAAAAATTACTACTTTTTTTTCTTTTTTTTTTTACAGCAACCTGTTGCACAGTTGGATAAAAAAATTATTTTTTTTCTTAATACAGTACATGGCATTTCTCCTCGATTGCACTAGAAGTAAATTTGGAAGCACTTTAAGTTTGTGTTATAGGCAAACAGGAAAGAAAAACAAGTCAGGCAGGCTTTCAATCTCCTTTCCATCTCTCTGCCTGCTGTTTTATCTCCACCCTTTCACATCTCTGAGTCCACGTACATGCCATTGATCAGGTAATCCACTTGTGTGTAATCCTTCTTCTTGTAGCTCTCATAGGCCTGCATAAGGAAAAGAACTATAACAGTTATGAAAAAAAATGTACCAACTAAAAGCACTGCAAGAAGCGAACTTTTATCTACTAAGTACTGAGTCAGGGGCTCGGCAGCAATGAGAAGATATTCATTGTCCATGTCCAGCGTTTCTGCAAGGCCTGAAGCTGTTGTTTTGGGTGCATCTGCTGGAGCCGTGGTTGTTGAAAAAATGTGAGATGTTGACTTTATCTCATGCCTAGCTGTTGTTTCTGCTGTAGAGGCAGTAGTTAAAACCGTGGCACCTCTCGTAGAGCCCAGAGAAGTTGATTTACTCAAGGATGTTGCGGCTCTACTTGCTTCTGGCTCTAGATATAGCGACGTAATGACAGGCAGTGGGTTCGCAGAGTGTGAAATCTCTGAGGGGGTGAGTGCCATGGCACGAGTAGAAGTAGTGGAAGACATTCCTGCATCCTGTGGGATTAGGATAGTCAATGTTGCACTCGCTGTCTTTGGGCCAGCTCCAACAGTGGTGGGGCTGCTAGAGCGGGAAGCGCTGGCAGTGGTGGTTGGGTTAAATTGCTCTGTTTGAGGCATTTGAGTACCTGCTTGAAAAATGACAGTGAGGGGAGCAGAAGTAGAAGTGGGGGACAATACTGAGACAGAGCTACTACTTCCTGATTTTTTGGTGGTGGTCACAAGCTTGATGAAATGGCTAGAAGTGGAAGCAGGGATGTGACCAGAAGTGGGAGAAGAGGCAGTGGATGACATGGCTTCAGCAAGGAAACCAGAACTTGCAGGGGCGTTTGAGGCTTTGGCAGTTGTTTCATAAGCTGTAGTGAGGACAGTTGTGTTTGTAACGTTTGTTGTTGTGGTGGTCGCTGTGGTGGTGGTAGCATTGCTTGCAATTGTTTTTCTTGCATTTGTCGTTACACCTTCACTCTGAATCTCAAGCAAATGCCTCAGTTGGATCTTGTGAGTCCGAGGAGTTGAGGAAAGCAGGTTTTCGACATTGTGTTGGTCAACCTGTGCATTCACCATCCTCTCCTTTTTCTGTGGATAGCTTTGGTGGTGAAACAGGACTGTTTGCCTTTTCCCACCGACAATTTCTTCAAAAAGACAAAACCAATAAGTTTCATAAGGATAAAACTCTCAAGCTCAAATCTGACCTCATACCCCCAACATGCAAACCAGAACACAAATTCTGCAGTACATGTAGTACAACTGGAATAAATCAGTCCTGAAGACAGCAAGAACGTGAAAACTCAGACCCCTGCTCCCTCTCGGGTTTTTTGGGGGTGAGGTTTTTTTGTTTGTTTTGGGGGGGGTGTTTTGCTTTGTTTTTTGCCAGAGACCTCTGGCATTTGCCCAACCAGAGAATTAATTCCACAAAAAGGAGGTAACAAAGTACTGACCTACAATGCCGAAGCACATTATCACCAAGAGCTGCAGCATTTACGAATGCCAGCTCCTGAGAAGACTCATGCTTTCAAAGCTACACAGCATGGACAAACCCTTTATGCTTAGATTCATAATTTTCACCTCTCAAAAGTGAGTGGAAATTTCCACTTACACCTTCGTACTTTGGGAGAATTTCCTTCACAACTAGTGTTCTAGATTTATAGTGACATAAATCCCATCTGCTTATCAAAGGTCTGGTTGCTATGTTGCAGAGAAACCTTTGCCAACCCAAAAGAACCATGAACAAACTTTCTCTTTTTTTAACTTGGGTACGGAGAACTACTGAAACATACTTTAGAAGACCGATTCCCCAATCACCAACAAGCTCTATTTTGTTATTGCGCTAGTTAATTAAAATTGAAGATCCTGGCACTGGAAAGTCACCACGAGCAATTGTTGCTAAGGCTGCTCTGATTATGGAAGCAGCCTGCTGCATCTGGCACAAAATCCTGGCAATCTCAAAAAAACCCAATGCCAAGACGTTTTCCTTTCTCTTAAAAAAATATAAATACATCTGTTTATGCCTTTATTTTCCAAAGGACAGTGTGTGGAGTGCAAATGGCTTGAATGAAGGATGTCCTCAACATGGAGACAAACTGTTACTCAGTAACAGCTACAAAAGTTACTCAAAGACACATCATGCAGGTGTAAGTGCCAGAGCCCTTACCAGGCTACTGAAACAGTTGTCTCAGTGAACCAACTTCACCTATGGAATCACCCTGCAGGCATTTCACAACCTATCTCTCTCAGCTGAAAGCCAGTCAAGGTCTAAATGTAGGCATTTAAAGCAAAAGGACCAGGATCCTGGATTTAGCAGGAGCCTGAAGTATAGCGTTACCTCCAAGCAGATCTCTGATGTCTTGTTCGCCAGCATTCTGGCACACGCTCAGCTGGTGACACTGCAAGAGGATGCAGTGATTCTGGTAGGGCACAGCCCAATTACAGTGATGGTTACCTGAAAACAGCAGAGAAAATGGGTCGCTACACACAGTATACTGAACACACTGCTTCATGGCTGTAATCAAAGAATTAGAAAAAAAAAACCCAACACGATAGCTGGAAGATCTGGCCTTAAAGGATCCTGACTCAGCCTTAGTGAAAATAACGGGAAAGTCAATGAAATCAATATAGCAACTGCAGCCTACATTCCTGCTTGTCTTCTGGTACCAACATCTCCTAACAACAGCAATTCACTCACCCAGACAGGGACCAAGAGAGTGCACTACAGTCTGGACTCATCTAAATGCTAGCATTCACCTAGATGTCTTAATCAGGGGGAAAAAAAAGTGCACTGAAACTGAGAAGACACCCATCTTATCACCCATGGGAGACAGCTCTCACCTCAGTGCTTGGATTTACACTGAAATTTACTCTTCATTTGCTGAACAATGATACCATTAGCCATGGGAGCCATCACAGAAATTGTCTTTTAGTAAGTCAAATCCCAACACAAGCTAAATAAGCTCATCACAGCAGGAACTCTCTCTCTTGGCATCCCTTTGAATTCACTAACTTCTTTCTGGGCATGTCTACATACACATAACCAAGCTTTGAGGGAAGGAATGAACCTCCCCTAATCAGCGCTGAGGAGACATCTCAAACACTGTGCCCAGTTTTGGGGTCCCTAGCATAACAAAAGCAGTGTTGATGTACTGGAGCGAGTCCAAGGGTGACTACTAGGTGTCTGAGGGGCCAAAGCAGATGATTTACAGGAAATCCCAACTTAACATCAAGGGAAAAATTCAGTTTCCACCACAAGGGCACTCAAACACTGGGCTGGGGGCCAGAGAGGTGGTACACTCTCCAGCAGGTCTTGAACAGCCAGATCTAAGTCGAGTTCAGACCAAAGATCTTCAAAAGATCCTTCCTGTGTAAATTATGCTATTATTTTATGTAATATCACAGTAGCACGCAATTAATTTATGGGACATGCTGTAACAAAAAAACCAGAAGAAGGTAACACAGTGCTTGGTCTGGGATGAAGCAGACGTGTGCCCAACTGACCACCCATCAGTGGATTAAAGGGAACTGAAGTCTACAGTAGGATAAATTAATTTTGTGTTTATAAGTGTGACAAAGGGCAAAGAAGACACCTATGTGGTACATATGGCTATATTTAAAGCTCTTATCTACAAATAGAGTTACTCTCACTAAGGATTAAGGCTATGGGAAGCTTGAACTTTTCATTAAAAAAACATTTATGTTACCACAGTTATTAAGAGGGCTTGTGGAAAACTTACGAACTTGGAGAAATTCCTGTACCAAGAACTGCAATCTGTTTTGAAAGTCCTAAAGAAACTAGTCAAGGTGGAATTTTACTGTCTTTGATAAAATGTTAAGAAAGTGCCTGAAACCATTCAAAGCCTTTAAAAAATGGTACTTCAAAAGCAATAAAATAAAAAGCTTCAACAGTCACACAGAGCAGGAGATACAGCAGCAGCCCTTCAAGAAATTAAAATCCACTTCTCAGAAATGAAAGCATGTTTGGATGTGCCCTGACTACCCACCCCACCTCCTGTCCCTCGGTCAGTAAGTCACACTAGTGGAGAAACATAGACCATCTACTAATGTAAATCATGCCATTTCTCACTTCTTGGGAAGGGGAAAACAAAAAGGCAGCAGCTATCTTGCATTGGCTACTTATCTAAGTCAGTCAGTTCAGAAAGGTCAGGTGATTAATGGGGTCAGCATGGTTAAAGCATCCTGGTTTCTGCTGCCATCAGAATCCAGTTGCTCATGAGTTCCCTGTTGCTCCCCATGACAAGCAGACACCTCTATTGAACCAGACTACCAGACTGGTTAGTACTCTCTTTGATGCAACTCCAGATTGAGGCTCCAACTGATGTGTCCACTGCAAGATCCCTGCTACCCAGTGGTTCCTTTTTGCTCACTTCCAATTAGGAGAGAGAAGAAAAAAGAAAAAAGAAAAAAAAAGAAAAGAATAAATAGAAAGTGGAAGGACAACAAAAGCTCTTCAGAGCTCTTTTGAAAGGAAACCACATAGGCAGATGCCAAGGTCTTGCCCTATCAAACTGGTTTATTTCATTTTTAAGCCTGCTGTTACCAGAAAGGAATCGCAGATGCCCAAAGGCAAGCAGAACCCAGGTAAGCAGTTGTATTGTGGAAGTAGGGAGCAGGAATATTTGCTCTCGCAGCCATGTCATATTTTCCCTTCATTTTCCCCAGAGCATGCAAGATAGCCCAGAAGAACGGCCAAGGGGCTCTGTTCTCAGAGCCAGACTGCTCCGACGGCCAAGAGTTTTCCCCCCAGCCCTGGGCTGGCCACCCTAGAAGAAACTTGGGAGAGCTCTGAATATGGCTGGGGATGCAAAGGGAAGAGTACAAGCTTATCTTACCTCCCAACATGGGTTCACTGTGCTCACCAGGCATCTGGGAATTCCGGATTGCCAGATCTTTGCTAGGATGCGCACCTTCTCCATCAAGTATATCACTTACCCTAGCAGCATATGGGGACTTGAACCCATTCCCTTAGACAACATACGGAGGTTAGAGTTACTATCCATGCTGTCAGCACTAGAGAGTTTTGCTGCTTTTATTAGCACATAACTGAAGTGTCAAACCGTCTCATGATATTGGTACAATCGTTTTGCGTATGTTAGTTTGCTAACTATGTATCCTGGCCTCTGGTGTGGATATTCAAAGACGATGCTGGAATAGCTAGATCAGCAACCATTTCCTTTTCTGCAGGGCACATCTGAAATGTGAATATACTGACAAAAGCAGTTCTTTTTGTGATAGTTGCACTACTTCTCTAAGTTAGTGATGTTCTGTCAGCAAGGGTATATATTACATCTACAGAAGAGAGCCTAACCAGCTAGGAATGTTATTTTTCCACTTTTCCAAGCAATGCAGCTATGAAGATGTCTCCCCATGCAACTTTGGCCTGCAACTTAACACCATAATACCTTGAAAAATAACAACCACTGCTCCTTTACTGCCAGTTACATAGGTGTAACTATTCTGACATCTAAGCCTCAGGCCTCACGTCTGTAATGAAAGCAAGCACAAAAATAAACATACTTGGGGAAGGTGGGAATGGAGAAGGAGAGAAGTAAAACTGATCTTAAAACCTAAAGCTTATCATAAAAAAAAGACATTTCAGGTCCTCCTCTCCAGATGATCTCTCTGCACATGGCTATACATTTATGTCAAGAGTTTGTATGTTTTCCATCTCCCTTGACATCAAGCAGTGCAACAGACTGGCCATCAAGTAACAAATAGGAATTAAATTGCTTCAGTGGGCTTAATACAGAAAGTAAAACCCGAAAAGCTTTCAGGTTTAGTTTTACGTGGTTTCCTAAAGATGGAACAAGTCACCTAATTGTAGAGGCTCAACCACCTCTGTCCAACAAAGCTAACATTCAACTGGACTTGCTGTGTACAAAATACATCAGGAGAGAACAAGGTGAAGGGTATAAAAAAAAGTGGCTGAAGTCAGCAACAGGGCAAAGTATGCACTCAGATCATCTCCCAGCCCTGATCACAGACAAACTAAATTCCTTATGGCCCTCCTCTGGAAGAGGCAGCAGATAGCACCTTGTCTACCTTTATCAAGATATCAGGAGGTTAAGAAGACACATGCACTGTGTTGAGAGATTCTCAGGTGGAACAGAAAAACATGCAGTGCTACAGACCCTAAATGTCAGCACAGTCAGTGTGAATGTGTCATCTCTCTAGGGTTTACTACCTTAAAAAGCAGAAGCTGAAGTTTTCACAGCTTTGATGCCTGGGAGACAAACCCACTCATATTTTACCTCCTAAATAAAATGTTTAGTTTATAAAGGTGCTTTCTTTCCACTATGAAGAGATGTTTCATTTAAAACAAAGGTTTGAAACACTGTGCATTAAAAAAAAAGGCATCTTTATGATGTTCCTATCAATCTGATTGTCAGACATTCATCCACCTGAGCCAAGGTCTCATCTTCACCACTGCAGCCCCAGTTTGTAGGTGCTACAAGCTTTCACATGCGGCTAGATAAGATAGGGCAACTCTGAAAGACTCATTTAGAAGTTTAATGCTTTTTAAAGACATCTCAGAGGTAGACAGCAGAAGGTTTTCATCTCCCCAGACTTGTTTAACCCTGTGCCTGGTTGCAGGATACAACTGGTTTCTTCTAAGGCAGAAAAAACATAAATATCAGTGAGCAAAGACTGCTCATTCCAGTGCAGCTGTCTTCAACAGCACTGTTCACTTGCAAACATCTGGCAGCATGGAATAATCATTCTTCAAGTGAAGTGACCTAACACCGTTTGCACGCTACCAGCGCACACCAAGTGCACATGCATTCTGTTTCTTACGGAAGCTACAAGGGCCCTGGGATATGGTTGTTCTGGATTCAATTTAACCAAAGCTGTCAAAAGTTATTTAGCACCGCGGGACTGCACAGAGAAGCCGTAACTGTAAATGCCTGTAAACAACTGGAATTAAGAAAGATAGTTGTCAGGGGAGCAGAAGAGACCTTTAAGGAACAGAAAACCCAGCTGGAATTCCAGCTAAGGGACAAAGAACCTCACCTGAACCACCTGGGCTTTGACAAGCCTGCCTGCACTGGTTTTCAGTTGTAAGCTTGTTTATTCGTACTACATGGACTCCTCTCCCTTTCAGGACAGAAAACCTGTGTTCACATATACAGAAGGAAATCAGCAGGAAGAATACAATGGCAGTCCACATCTTCAGGGTTGGCCTTGCAGGGATGCTTCTCTTCCCAGAAGCAATTCTTTCTTATATCACTTTCAGATCCACTACAATATACCTATTAAAAAAAAAAAAAAAAAAAAATTATCAATTTATATCAAGAGAGTGTTCTACTAAACACACTCCTATCAGCAGGGATAGAAAAAAAATACAAAAGGCAAGTATCAATACACACAACATATAGGCAATGATGCAGAGGCAGGAAGAGAAAAGACCATACCCAAATTCACAGAGAGGCTCTTTCTTTGGAAACGGTACTTTGCTCTTCTTCCCTCAGGCCCGACCAGAGAACAGCTCAAGTCAAAAGCCACATATACAAAGCCAAACTCAAAGTCCACAGGCGTATGGCAGAACAGACATGATGGTTTTTGACTCACTCTGTCTTTAATGTTGTTCCCAGGCTCAGCAGAAGGGTTTGCACCAGCTTGAGCACACTGATAATACGGGGAACTATAGTCCTGGCCCTGCCTTTACACTAAGTCAGTCAAACCCAAGCATCAACCTTAGTTGATTCTTGCTTTGATTTTCCTGCTCATTGCAATAAGGTAAAAAAACGTCTGGCTGAAAACAAGCAAAAGCCAATATTTCCAGTTTTCCAAGAGATTACACAAACACATCAGCTGTTGCTGAAGAAGTAAGCAACAGTAAGCCTTCATTTCCCCACATAAAACAATAAATAGGCAATGTCTTTTCTTCATTATCAATGAACACACGAGACTCTGTCCCAATGGATGGGCTCTCATCCTTGAAGTCACTGGAGCAGCTCCTGTTGACTTCAGAGCAGATCGTCAGCTTTTACCTGGATTTACCCTCTTGTTTCCAAGACTTTTTAAAGCTTTATATGAGCTTCCAAACTGTTCAGCCTGAACCAGACCAATTGTAAGTCTCTTTCCTAAGTAGTTTTTAAGGGCAACCCTCTTCCTCATCACTGGAGCAAGCTTTAGTCCTCACCCTGCAGTTATGAAGAGAAATGTCATGGCCTTCGAAGAGTGCTGAGATTCAACTTTGCATGACATCTCAGAGGTGTATGTGACGACTGCAGTAGAAGATGCAAAGGCAGTTCACGACACAGAATGAGTAGCATATGTGAATGGTATAAATAACATAGTGAAAAACATCCAACAGTCATCAGTAACATGCCTAAGACCCTGATTTAGCCATCCATGCAAGAAGTTTCATCCTGAGTTCTCAACTCCAGCTGCAACCATGCTTGTGAATTTAAGAGTCTGAGTAACAGCCTTTTTTTCCTCCAAGAAAGCCCAAGACAACATTTATTAGCTTTGACTCCCAGTTTGCAATATTTTGATGCTTCACACCATGAAACTTTTGTTTCCAAATTTCCCTCCTTACTCTATGTCCTAAAGCCCCAACAGGGTAACAGAGTTTTAGCCTCAGAACCACCCTGCCTGAAAAGGGTGAAACATAAACAGCTACCGCAAGCTTCGCAGAGGACACACAACACAGAGTTCCACAATGGACTACCAAAGAGTCAAAGGTGGGGGCAAAACTTGATGCTAAAATACAGTGTCTCAAATTCAGCATGCCTAGTCACCCTACAAGTTCCCTAAGGAACTCAGAGCCTCCTTCCTGCCCTTTTATTTATTCTAATAAAAAGAGTTATTTTGCATGTTGAAAATAGATGGAGCATTTCTACATCTTCTGCTCTCCCAGAGAGCAGGGGAGCCCAAAAGGACTGGGCTGCAGGGTACTTGCACAGCTGACCTCAGCTTGTGCGTTCCTCTCCAGCTTTCTCCCTGGAGTAAGAGTGCACAGCATCACGCTGGTTTTGTGCAAGCAGGTTTCTCACTGCAGCCAAAAGTTCATGCCTGGGTCACCCCACCTGGCAGCTGGAAATAGAATTTCTAAGTCTGACCTGACAACAGAGGTCTTGGTGGGGAAAGGCAGCTCACCAGCCCCATCTAGGCCCGCATACCAGAGACTGCTCCCGGCCAGCACCAGCTCCGCCGCATTTCACAGTGCGCACTTTGCTCCCTCCTCCTCCTCATCACTTGCTCTTCCAAGTACAACTTTGCAGGAGTTGCAAGAATCAGCGCAGAGGAGGAGAGGAGCTGTGTGATAGATATGCAACTGCAGCCCCTCCAATATGGTACACAGGCACTGGCTGCCCGGGAAAGCAGCCCCGCATCTTCGGCAGGGAATTGGTAATATAAGTTTGTGTTCCTCAGCCAAGATAACTTCAATACCTTTCCAACTGTTCTGAATTACAAAGCACTTCCACAAGTTTGCCTTAGCCTGTAGCACGCTCTTGCTGTCACTCTTAGCATATGCATATACTGAAAACTCCAGTTGACAAAACTGGGAGCAAGGGGAGAAAGCAAGGGTAGATGTGAAACACTCTGCCCACAGGAGATTTTCCTAGAGCAGACAGACAACAAAAGTTTGCTTTAAACACTGAATCCTTCAACTTAAAGCAGGTGATTTGGGTTCCCTCACCGACACTATAGGTACCTCACCAAGACACTCAGAGCACTGTTTGTCAACCTGCACTCCCATCACACTATGCAGAAGTGGACTTTTTGTAAGGTTCACAAGTCACAGGCAGAGATTCAGCAAGCAGTATCTGACCCACAGAAAAAAAGAAAAAAATACATCATTACAGGTAAATTTTACATTTTAAAGAGAGTCCAGTTTATGTTTGCTGTCCCTTTTCAAGGTAAAAGGCTTACAAGAAGCAACATTTTATAGCCTAACAAGTGACCCTGAGAATGAATTGGCTGTGCAATAATGTATGCATTTACTGTTTTAAAGAAAATGGTAAATAACAGCAATGAATACAAACACAGAGCACTCTCTTATTATAGGGGAGTTTTCCCACCTTTACTAATACCTTTGTAGTTATACTAACCAACCCTCAAAGAATAAACATCTTCCACTGCATTTCGGAAATGCAGATACAGCAGCATTAAATCTATGCATAAATACTGTAATTATTATTATATTGTAAATCTCAGTCTTTTAGGACAAATAAAATAATCTTAATTCATCTCAACTGACTCAAAACCTACATATATTTGTAAGATCAAATGTTGATCATACTCAGTGTCTAGAAGGACATAGCGACCTGTCCCTTATGCACAGAGATGCTTTGTATCCCCAACCACACTAACCCACCAGAAGTCCTTCCCATCACAGCTGACTTTGGTCCCACTTGACTGCAACAGCTCCAGAGGAAAGCAAAATTCCAGTAACTGCCTCTCACCTCTTCCAAAGCACCTGGCAGCCTTTCTGGATTAGGCCAGCACTGGTTAAGGGGGACATGCTGAGCTCAGACACAAGAGGTTTGTCTCCCCTTTCCCTCTCACTAAGCATCGTCTCCTCAGGGGCCAACTGCTAATTCCTCCCCCAAGGTGCTCAATACAAACTTACAAGCTTAAAAGAATTTAAAATGTTCTTTAGCCAATTCTAAAAATCCCTTTACAAATTGCAGAGTGAGCGTGCGAAGTAGACAAACACAATACACAGACTCTAAGTACGGCAGACAAGCAAACAGCTCATTCCCAAGTCCGTCAAAGGAATAACCAGAAGCAGTTGTACCTTAATGCAGTCCAGATGATGCTTGGGATGCTGTATTAAATACCCGAACCTCCAGCTAGGGGTGGTTGTTTTTTTGGCTTCTTCCACCTTAGCACAATCCCATACATCCAGAACAAGAGTCGCAATCACTTGCAGATCACTTTTCCCAACTTAACAACTGCCTTTTATAATTACAAGCAACAAGATTCATTTCTGCCTTCCCATCACACTTCTAGCCAGTCCCACATGGCTCCATTTGCACTCTGAGATCCCACTGAGCACCCACCCCACACACCTACATCCCAGAAAAGCACCAGCTAAAGCTTCTCCTCCAGATCGTGTTGCTCCCCAGAAGAAACCACCCTTTGGCTGTCGGAGATAACACTGAGGAAGAGATGAACACTACTGTTCCCATCAGAAGTAATTTTGAGAAATCTGGGCAAAATTCACTCTTTGAGCACGACCTTCTCCATCTGTAGAGCATCCCCAAGGAAATTAAAAGTCAAACCAAACCACAAAAGACAGCAACAAATAAAATCTGGGAAAGGACTACACTCTGAAAAGTGCAAAGTTTACTTTTACCATCTGTGGCTATAACTCAGCAGGGAACAAGCATGCTGGAAAACCAGAATAACTTTGAGTCAACAACTAAATGACTGATGACTTTGCAACGCACACACACATCCAGAGGGCATTGCCTGCAGGGTTTCAGAAGCGTTCCTCTCTTCTTGCTGATCTCCCTGTGCTTGAGCCAAGGAATTTTGGGGGCGGGGGAAATCAAAGTATTATTTCAAACAATATTGATTGGGGTGATTGTGCAAGAGCAGAGTGAAGCCTTTGGAATATAAACTCCTTGTCTCCATGTCCTCCCAGCCAGCCTCAGTTGCTCCTGGTTAAGTAGCTGCAAGGTGCATGCAGTGACTGCACCAAGGCAAAAGGAGAGATATAGAACTAGACAAAAACCATGGGACGAGTGTATGCATTAGAATCACAAGTACAAAGTGAGCAAAGCAAATCATTTAGGGTAATACATGCTCCTTTAAGCTGTCATCAAAGAGCCAGCAGACACTGCCCCCAAATTCATACTTACAAGCGTGCATGGACGAGGCATGAAATAAGGTCGAAGAGTTGCAAAGAAATCTTCTATTCTCAGAACAACAATAAAGCAGGGAAAACAAAGGTGGAATACCTTTTGCAGATAACAATGCTACCCTCCCATCAAGTTGAGAAGACATAAGGCCTGGTTTCAACTTGCAATTGCTGCTAAACACTTCACATGTTGTCAGCTCTCAAAACAAGTGCTATATTTCACTCTTTAGAAAAACAGAATTAAACCAGATTTTGCTAAGGGAAGACAAGCACATCTCATTTTGTGAATTGAGGCTAGAATGCAGGAGGCAGGGAATCTGTGCTGCAATCTTGAGAAGCATTTGGCTTCCCAAGCTTACCTCCAAGGATGAAGTTGCACATGTGGATAGGTCTGGAGACAGAAGGGGCAGCACCAAGGCACATGAGGCTGATCCA